AGATATTGGCTGCCGGCCGCTGAGAGAGGAGGAAGGGGTTAAACGGAAAATTAGCCGCGTCGCGAGGGGAGGCGAAAAACGGCCGCCGGCAGCCCGACGGCTAATCGAGCGTTCATAGGCCAAGCCGGCGGGCCGGCGCGTGTAAACACAGCTGGACCGCATGTGAGTGGAGGTGTTACGCTGTTGTGAAGCTGTTGCGGATGGGCGTATGGCGATGCGGGGCGGGGAGATGGTTATATGAGCTATGCACGGGTGTAACAAGTTAGTGTTAATGCTGAGGCATCTCGTGTGCGTGGAAGAAGTCCACAGTTATTCTAGCAAAGATATCGAGTGCATGTAGTGTATGCAATGCTCTTGAAGGGACTGCAGGAGCAAGAAGGCAGAGGGGCAGCCACTCGACAGCGTTGGAAAAAATGCAGTTGTCAGAAAAAGCTTGTACATTGCACGAAGCGAAGTCAAAATAGTTTTACCATGACGGCATAAAAAGGAAGTAAAAGTAGCATTAAGAACGAAAGCGTTCTTCAACCCTCTTGAATTTGGCAGGGTTTGCAGCCCTTGCAAATTCTAGACACCGTTCACACTCGGCCGCACGTGTAGTGATGGGTGAGGAGCATCTAATTATCCTGCCACATAAGAAAAGCAATGAAGGGTAAATGTCATAACAGGGAAAAGGGAAAGCTGCACTGATATGGCTTTGCGCTGTTTATGTAACACATAAACAGAGATAAGCAGGGCGAAAACTTTGTCATCTTAATCTCAACCTGTCGTGTTGGGGAGGCTAAGAGCTGTTCACAGCTGTACAAAACACCTCGCCTGCACCGCAAAACATGAACACCTTCAACCAACGGTCTGCTGTCACGGCGCGCTGGAAACTGACACTGGAACAACAGGCGGGCGGCGCGCGGCCGTCTTTGGCACACCTGAGAGCCGGCCGTCGGCCGCCATCGGGCGGGCGGGCGGCGCTCGCCGCGACGGTCTGTGACAAGGCGGGAACGCCGGCCGCCAGCGGCGCCGGCCGCGGCGAGTCGCCGCGCCAGCCTGTTCGACGTCAGCGCTCTGTCGGCGCTGTCGCTGCGCCGGCGCCGGCCCGGCCGAGAAAATAACCGGACCTTGTCTCGAACAAATCGCCCGGTGACAATTACAAGGTAAAATATGTTGCCCGTTGCGAACTGTTTCTACTGCGTTTTTCTTGCTGTAACCGGTGTCGCCTGGCCTTTAAGGTTCGTTCGTTCTGTTCGTTCGTTCGTTCGTTCTGCTCCACATGCTCTTGGAAGATCGGACGGCCGGATGATGTGGCGACGAGCTCTGAGCTGTGCGGCGCACCGTTCAGCGTACCCGCCGTCGCAACTCGCCCACGTCGGGGGCTAACCACCAGTAGCATTTCAGGCCTCTTTAGCCGACCAAATCCCGACTCGCATGCCGAAAAATACCCAAAAGCGGGTCGACTTAGCGCAAACCCTCTCAAACGCCGCGGAATGCCCCGGCCGCTTGGCTGGGCCATGCCGGCCGCCTCAGAAGCTGGCATGCGGAGAACGCCGCTGCTCGTCGGATTTCCCAAAGAGGCTTACTGACCGGCCGTCGGCAGACGGCGCACGGCGCGGCCGGCTGCCCGTAATGGATACGGCGGCGGCGCGTTTGTTTGCACGCGCGGCGGCCTGAGAGTGCCGCCGGCGTCACCTCCTCCCGTGACAAAGACAACAGGGCGACAGCGCGGCTGGCAGACGGCGGCCGGCCGGTGGCGCCATCCTGCCCTGCCCCCCCCCCCCCCCCTGCCCTGCCCGCCTGCCCGTCTGACGGCCGTCAACAATGCTCCAGTGACAACGTGTAAAGGCGGTGGCGCCGGCCGTCAGTCGTGTTCCGCCTGTGCGCTCCGCCCGCCGGCGGTGGGTGACGGGGGCCGGCCGGGGTGGGGCGACGGCTGGCGACGGCGCACGGCGGCAGGGCATGGGGCAGGACACATCTGCTGCCTGCACGCTAAGATTATCGCAGATGCTTACGGCTCACTTTACTTTTCATGGGTGGAAAGCATTTGAATCCCTTGCATGGAAAGAAACGCCATTGCGTCACGTAGTGTGTAACTAATATCCCAAGATGTGTATTACCATTAAAAAAGTCGTCGAATACCCCGCACCCGCATCCTCTTCGGCCTCACATTCAGGCGGCTTAAGGCCCAATCGTCTCAGCTGGCGGCGTGCCGCGCTACTACCCGGCTGCTGACGTACGCAGCGCGTCAGACCGCGGATAAACCCCCGGTGCTGCCTCCAGATTTGCGGAACAGAATTTGAGCCTGATATTTTTGGCACCGTGAGCCCGCTTGCTGCCTTTTACGACAGCCCCCTCCATGCCGTCCGGCTCTCCGCTATACGCCCTGGCCTCGCGGCTCGGACGGGACACGCCTGTCTCCGCAGTCCACCCGGCGTCGCGGCGCGGCGAGTCGCGAGGCCGGCCGTGTCGTGACGCCGCCGGACAATGTCGGCGCCGCCGCGGCGGCACCAACACCCGGAAACGCCGGGGCGCCAGCTGATTGACAGCCGGCCGGAGCGCGGGTCGCGCGCCGGTCCTGACCCGTCGCTGCGCCCCCTCGCCGGCGCCTCGCGGCCGCCGCGGCCGCCCTGAGAAGGCCGTGCTCGATTGAGACGAGTGAACGACAGGTAACAGGCGTGGCGGCTGCGGGCGCCGCGCCTGCGCCTGACGTCAGGCGCGGGCAGGCGCGCCGCGGCCGCCGCCAGCCGCGCCGAAAGTTCCGCCTTATTGGAAGTGAAAGTCATTAGGGGCGGCGGCGGCCGTCCAGATGTGCTGGAACTTTATCTCGGGCCCGATCGCACGCCGCCACGAGCTCTGCATGCTTCCAGATGCAGCCGGGCCCGCCGGGCGGGCGGGCGGCGGCGGCGGCACGCGCGGGTCGGGTCGGTGCCCCTGCCCCGGCGGGGCGCCGGCACCGTCGGACCGGGCTCCACACGGCGTCACGGACCCCCGGTCAGGCCATGCAGGGTCCCAGAGGGGTTTGTGGGGGACCGGGCGGGGCGTTCGCTTCACAGCTGCTGACGGAGCGGCCCCTGGGGCCGGGCACAGTGGGGCGTGCCGTACACCGCTGTCGATAGTGCCCCTCGGGCGCGGCCGGAACCGGGCTCTGATGGGCCGCATCCGACACACGGTCAGCGCCATATATGGCGCAACAGCCATTTTGAGGCGCGCGTGCGAGCTCGGACACGGAGGCGGCCGACGGGATCAGCCCGTGGTGACGGAGCACGGGCGGAACGGGAGAATGGTGCGGTGTGGCAGGTGTGGTGTGGAATGGTAGGTGTGGCAGTCGCCAGTACAAGCTTCGATGAAGTAAGCGATATTTTAACATTTCATTAATGAACGTCTGAAGTTCGGCAGCTTTCCCACACATCATTATCTCATCATTCGCCATCAGTGGACGGATGGGAGGGGGGGGGAGGCATCAACTTAAGCTCTGCTAACTGAGCGTGCGTAGCCACTGGGCAGCTGCAGATGGCGCAAGCCAGCACGCGCACAGACAGCTACTCCCCGGACTAGCCTCGACTCGACTGGAATGATGTCGACCACACACGAGCCAGAGACCGTGTCAACGGCGCGGCGCGGGCCGAGGGACCGCTCACGCCCGCCCGGTACGCGCCGTACAACGCGCGACGGTGCAGCGTGCTCCAGGCGGCAGGAGTCGGTGGCGCCCTGGTGCGCCAGGAGCGACGTCTGACGCGACGGGCGCGCCACGGGCGTCTGAGGCAGCGTGCAGGACGCAGGGATTCGATAGTGCCCGAGGCGCGCGAGCGGGGCGTCACCGACGGAGCGGTGAGCTCTGCTCCGCCGGCCGTACGCGGACGAGGCGGCGCCGTCGCGGGTCACGAGCGGGCCCAGCGGCCGGCTCTATCGGCTCGGCATCGGCCGGCAATCAATAGCCACAAATTAACGGATCTGATAATATTCAGACGATCATTGTCAGGTGGACTATCTGATGGCGCTCGAGGACCTGATGGCGCGCACTTACGAGCAAACCACGGCGGCGAAGAACGGCGACCCGGAAAAAGAGCGCGGGGAGGGGCGAGACGGAGCCGGGCAGAGCAGCCGGCCGGTGATCGATGAGCCGCGGAGGAGCGCGGGACCGGCTGCCGGCGGGTCAGGTGTGATGACGATGAGTCGGCAGCTCTGGTGACGCCCCGCCAGCGCCGGGGCCCGAGTGCTCAGACTCGGGCAGCGATACAAGCGGCCAGTGTCGTGAATGCAGCGTGTGTTGTGGTATGTGGGCAGCAGTGTGAAACGGTTTACCAGCTGAAATTTGCTCGCAAAGAATGTCAAACGTCGTCGCTTTCAAGGTACTTTCTGTGTTTCTAAATCGGGTGCACACAGAGGAAAAAATTCAACCGGAAAGTTGCACACTTCGTCCAAGCGTTAGGACATTCTTTCCAAATCTCAAATAGGTGCAGTCAACCATAAACAGCGCACGGGACTCGCCTTCTCGCAAACAAAAATATCTGAAGCGAATCACCGCGAGCCCAGCTTGGGCCAGGACGCGGCGGCCCAGTTCGAAGCACTCCCTTCCCACCCCCTGCTCTCCGCCGACGGCACCTTCGTCGTTGTGGCCGTCGTCCGCACGTCCGCCGGATACGACGCGATCGCCGGGAAGATCATTACTCTGTTGGGCAGCGCGGCCCGGCGCCTCCGACGCTGGGCGGCCGTCGACGGCGCCGGCGCCGGAAGGAAGGCCGGAAACGTCGTTGTCGATGAGGCCATTCGACGGCCGTCGCGATCGACGCCGCCGTCGGCGCCCGTCAGACCGTGGGACCGGGCGAGGGGAAACAGCGGCGCAGAGACCAAACACGAGCGGAAAACTGCGAGGACCCGCCGGCAGCGAAGGCCACTGAAATGTTTGGGCTGCTCGGCTCGCGGGCAGTGGGCGCAAGGTTCGTGTCCGGTATGTGTACCCCGGTGTGCGGCTTGTGGTGGCCGTTGCATAAGTCCGGACAGTCGCTCGTACTCACGTTGTGCAGTTTGTAGTAGAGGCCGCAAGCGTTGCACACGGGCTCGCCCTGTCCGTTGCGCCGCCACAGCGTCGTCGTCGACGTCTTGCAGTTGGAGCACGACGTCCCGGCTCTTCGGGCAGCCGACTGCGGGGCACGGCAAAGGTCAGCAGAGGTCACATAAGGTCGCCGCGTGTCGGGCTGGCGCCGAACCGACCAAATCGAGACGTCGATGAGTTCCATTAGAGACCAACAGGCTCGGAGAGACAGGACGAGGTCTTACGAGAGCACACGGGGCCGGCAAAGCTCGGAAGCGATGCCAAGGTCAACAGAGCCGCGTGCTGCCTGGTCGTCCAAGCTCGACTGGGACGACATGGGCTGTTTCGTCGCCGGGGCTGGCTAATGAGCCGACGTCGGCGGCGAGAGGCGCCGGCTCGGAGCGGCATATTAACGTCCGCGGGCCTGACGGGACTGCGAGTAATCTCGCCTCAGTGCCAACTGCGCAGCTGGCCCGCCGCGTTCACATGGACATAACTCGGACCGCGGCGGCCGCCTCCGAGCGGCGCGTCATAAAGCACCACGAGTGGGCACAGAGCTGCTACCTGCAGCCCGTGTCACGGCTATTGTTCGACGCATTCTCCCGGCGGGCGCCGGCCCAATAACCACTCGATCTCACACCGACTCCGCGGCCGACATTCCGCGCGCAAACACACACAAACAGGCGGCCGCTCCGGTTCCATTTCACCTGTCGGCCGGGAACAAACGGCTCGACAAAGGCGGGGCTGGCGAGCACGGTCGACAAGTGTGTGAACCGAAGCCGACCCGGCCGGACACAATGGCGACTGCCGGCGCGCCACTGCCCCGTCGGGCCCGGCCTACCGCCGCGGCCGCCGGACGAGACGAGCCTCGTCACACGCACCAAACAAGCCATTGGCAATTACCGGAGCAAAGGACGCCGGCGGCGGTCGGCGGGAGGGCCCGGGGACGCGGCGCGGGGCGGCGGCCCGGCGCCGCGCGCTGCCGTTACGACGCGCCCGGTAAAAATGGCCTCGCCGGGGGTGGGTGGGAACGGCGGTGTTTGCGAACCGTAAGTGATGTACGCCGCGTCTCCGGCTACCGTCCGCATGGTGAATGGCCAATAAATGCTGAGTTCTGACGGTGTCTCGGCCTGATTTATGAAATGAACTCCGCCGCTGTCTCGGCCGGCGCAGCGATGGGCGCGCCAGCCGCCCGCACCCGGCAACCCGTCATTAAACGCTAGTGCATCACAGTTCCCTATTCAATTTACAGATGTTATGCTGGGAGTGCACTCGACTTCGTTATTAATTGCAAATTGCAGCAGCGGCTCCTCTCGGCGCGCTACTGTTTAAAGAGCCGCAGCCGGCCCTGCGTACCTGGGCCGGGCGTAATTGGCTCGTGTTTCAGCGAGGAGAGCCGGGGCACGGCCGACGGCCGGGCCCCTGCGTCGGCGCGGCCTATAACTCAGCCGGACACCGGGGCGTGCACCGGGCCCGGCGCGGGGACCGCGGGCGGCGCCGGCCGCGCTGCACGGCCGCCGGCCGGCCGGCTGGCGTCCCCACCTATTTCACCGGTGACAGCGGCGCGATGCGGCGCGAAGTTCGGCCGCCCGCCGCTGGCGGAGCCGCAGGTGCGGGCTGTGATACCTCCGAAGATGGGGTGGCTGAGGGCTGCGCCTTGACTAAAAGAATGTAATCCTGGATTTTTGCACTACAGGCCTGACGCCAGCGCTGCACGCAACACACGAGGTATTTTATAACATAGAAATAAAAAATGCTGAAAAGCAACACGGTCCCGGTCCCGCTCTGCGCCCTCATCAGTACACCGCTGCAGCCGCATTCGTCGTAACTTGCAACAATTCATTTATGAAAATGTGGCGGCAGAGTCATTGCTTGCAGGGCTACCGCATCACGCGCGCATCAGACAAATACCTCACTGTTCCGCCACCAGCTCGCGGACGGGCTGGTGGTGGAACAGTGAGGTGTTCCCCACACTGCTGTTCCCCCCCCCCCCCCCCCCACATGCACACTCACTAATGGGAACGTATCGGCGTACAGCGTCGAGCGGGCCCGGGCAGCGGCTCTGTGCCCTGGGCCCGCCCCTCGTCCGCTCGCATGCAAACGGCCTGCTTGCCGGCCGCCGGTCGGTCGGGGCGACGGTGGACGCGGCGCCATCCGTCACTGTGCTGCCGGGCCGGCGGCGGTCAGCACGGCCGCGCGACGCGCCGCTGACCGGCCGGCGACGCGCGCGACAAAAACCGGCACGCCGCGGCAAAAACGGCGCGCGCCGTCCTGCACCGGCCGATGCTAAGTAACGCTCAGCGGCGGTAATTTGACGGGCGGCTGCGGCGGCGGCGGCGGCGGCGCGGCTTCCTCCCGGCAGCGGCCGCCATGTTTGCATGAAATGTAATTAGCTGCGCGCCGGTGCCGGTGCCGGTGCCGGTGATGTCAGTGGCGAGCACACGCTCCGGCCTTGGTCACCGGATGTGTAGCGCGCCGGGGCGGCGGCGGCGGCGGCGGCGTCGGCGGTGACCGGCGGCCACATCCCCGCGGCCCGCGCCGGCCGGCCACCGGCCGAGACCGATGACTACATACCGGGCTATCATAGGCGGACACGCGGCGGATAAATCATCGGCCGGCGCGCGGCGGATAATTAATTGGTGAGAAATATGACTCGCCTAATCGCGGGTTTGCGGGAAACAAAGTGCCGTGCTGGGATTGGCATGCAGCCCGGGAGGAGCAATGGAAGACGGCGACCGTAGCCGGACAGACGCAGCGGTGCGCCGCGTTAAGTTACATTATCAGGGTGAGCAGATTGATCTTAAAAAGCTGCACTGTTTGACTTTGATAGAGAGCATCGTTAAGATGAAAACTATACCCACGGATTCATGTGCTCCTGTGTCGCTGCAGCACGTTGAGCAAGCTGTGCTAGAAGCTGGATGATTTTGTGGTGCATACGTTTTTTATTATCCTTTCCTGCACGGATATTCGAACAATAACCACAACAGAAAGCGCGAGATTTTACTATCGCTAGACTGTACGAGCTGAGGTGCCCACACCCACCAACACGTCATACCAGACCCAGCCGGCGCTGGTTATCGCCTGCACTGGTTACGCATCCGTCCATTCATAGCACCATTTCAAGAAAGCACGCACATCCTGGGCACAACGGCTTCAGGCCAGTTTGTTCGGAATCTCCTCAAATTATCGCAGGCGCTGCAATGGTATCGCTGCGTTGTGCTCTGCCCACGTCTGCACTGATACAACAGCGTCACTATTGGTCAGTGTCAAGTTACGCGAGAACCTCAGCGGATCTCTCGGCGAGACATTGTGACATCAACAACTATTCAATGAAGCGGTACCGGGGCATCTACGTATACGCATACCGACACAGCTTCATAAATCTTAAAAGGCATTGGGCGAACATAAAAATCAGTTTTGATTGCACAAACATAGAAAGTTGCGGTGTTCTTTTTCTTTTCGGTGGGGTGTGCTCTTTGCTGGAATAATTATGCATAGACGTAAGACGCACTCCCTCGAGGTGAAGAGCGCATGCAGGTACTATCGATAGTAGGGAACATTTTAGCTAATTGTGTTATGAACGAGGTAACGGCGCGAAAAATGGTAAAATTATGCCTTTTCAGGATTTGGAGAGATTGAAACTGCTTTTTGGAACCACAACTTTCCTCTCGTCCCGGGAAAACGCAAAGGATCGTGTTTGGTGAGCCTAACCTGATTGCCAAGGAGAGGAACCCAGCCTGGCTGCGTGGGAGAAATACCTTTAGATGCTATTACAAAAGCCCTCTGCACATTCTCGAGCATACTTATCGCCGAATGTAATGCCAGAAAGTGCACCCTGGCCAATCACTCCACCCACAACTCAACATTTGAGTCTAGCCTGCGTGGTGAAAGGCACGTCGGAAGCTGCGCACACCACTGGAATGCGGCAGCACGGTGCGGTGGCGGTTAACCAATCAGCGCCGATGCTGGTACTCCACGTCCGTCAAAAGCCGATCACGCATCCGTCCAAAGTCGATCACGGCGACCAATCACAGAACAGAGATTTGCAACGGGACAAAACCCCAAAGCCTCAATTCACCACACTAAATTTTCGGACACTTCAGTATAACAGGATCATAAAAGTTATTGAATTTGCCCGGGCCTTAGTGCATGAAAGATCCGCTGATTGTAATTCTTTAGACAACGAATTTCAATGGAAATGTAACACTAAAGCCAATGTTTAATATAGGAACGTAACAACTCGATCACAGTCTACTGAACGAATGTTGTGGCCGCAGTTCGTAACACAGAAAGTCAAATGCTTTTGAACATTTTGTTTTTATCACGAGGTCAAAGGATCTAATTTACAACCTATCGGAACAGTTCATGAGCCACTTCGAGAGAAGAAAATGATAGTTCCTTGAGTAAAACTTGTAGCAAGTGACTACGTAGCCCGAGTTGGATGCATACAATCTTCTGCTTAGGCGTAAAACTTCATTTCGGCCAGAACGGTACATAACACTTTTCCTTTCAACTGGGCACAATGGGTACAAAACAGACCCTGTGGGTGGGGTAAAGTAAATTGAAATAGCATATTTGTCACGTTGGGTAGCTACAGGTTTGATACACATAAGGATAAAAATAAATACATATATATACATATATACATGTATGCATTCCATGGATTACCTGCTCGAACTATCTCCTCCGTCGTTCAAAGTGTAGATTTATATCGAATGCTTTAGTTGTGTCTGCGTCAGTTGACAACTTTAAAATATCACTGTAATTGTCTTAATCTGATAAATACAGTCATGTTACTTCTGTGCAGTATCTAACATGTCATCAAAGCATCCGCTTTTGCAAAACAAATACTGCAAACCCCCAAATACGTAGCAAGACATCCAAGTCGAATAATGCAGTGTCTATAAATTTAGGCTCAAGCTCGGTACTGAGGCGCACTGATATCTGTTACAGCCGTAAAGATACTCCCAAAGCCTGCAGCCACCCATGAAGCCAAGTCGGTCTCGGGTTGCAGGCCACATGCATGTATGCATGGATGAATACATCGGATAAATTCATCATTGTCATTTTGCTTTTATCTACATCGTAAGGTATCGGGCCGGAGGAGTTAGGAAATAATAATGCGACACGAAAATCCAAATAATAAATAACTCAGCGGCTGACGTCCCCCGGGAAGCGCTGAAAGCCGCCGAGCGTGGCGGACGCGCCGCGGGCCGGTTATAAACACTACCGAGTCCTCGCCACGTCCACAGTCCTCGAGAGTGACCACCGGTTCCCAGCCGCAGTCAACTGACCAATCACCAGCGACACAGTAACCAGCGACACAGGCGCCCACTAGCCGCAGTCAACTGACCAATCACCCGGTAACTAGCGACACAGGCGCCAACTAGCCGCAGTCAACTGACCAATCACCCGGTAACCAGCGACACAGGCGCCCACTAACCGCGGTCAGCTGACCAATCACCCGGTAACCAGCGACACAGGCGTCCACTAGCCGCAGTCAACTGACCAATCACCCGGTAACCAGCGACACAGGCGTCCACTAGCCGCAGTCAGCTGACCAATCACCCGGTAACCAGCGACACAGGCGCCCACTAGCACTGTCACTGCACCGTGGTCATACCGCGCAGACGCGGCCCGGCGGCCCGTCGCCGGCAGCCGCGCCGGCAGCGGCACCGGCACGCGGGATGTGCAGGCCGGTGAGGTGGACCGCAGCGGCGGTGTCCACGGTAGCGGCCGAGGCGGCGCGCGCCGGGGCGACGGAGGCAGCACGATGCCGCACTCGGCCAGCCCCGCCATTAATCACCCCCGCCCGGCCCGATAAACACACTCGCGGCTGAAAGGCGCACCTCAGCCGGGCGCCGTGTGGGAGCCGTGTGCAGCGGGCCCTCGTAAAGCACCGGTCGGCCGGCCAGAGTCCCGCGCGCTTTATGGGAGTTTAAAAGCCGGCTATATGAGTGTCGGTATGAAAAGGACTCGTCCGGGCAGGCGGCTGCCGTGCACAAAAACCCAAATGGGTACAATCAAGTCGGGATTTCTGGAATAGTTCGGAGTCGTTAGACCCGTAGCCCCATGCGGCCGATGATTTATGTGCGGGGCGCTCGGCACATGTCAGCCTAGGATTGGCAGCGAACACGGGTAGCAGTCTCGCACGACCCCCTCCTATCGAGACCGGGGTCGGTATCGCTGACGAAAAACGTGTCGCAACGCCCTGTCCCGTGTGTCCACATGTCATGTGCATGCCGCACAGTGAAATATGCCTGTCGCGGTGAAAGATCGCCCATAAATTTCTTATGCATGAATGAAAAGACGCCAAAAATGCGGGGCGTTTTTAAGGGGCGTATGTCGCAGCGCCGTCGGAACGTGGCTCTATGACATCAACGAACTACTGACATCCAAAACACGCCGGGATGGAGCCGGGCAGCACCACCGGCCCACACAATCATGCAAGCACAGATGCCGTCGCGTGCACGGTACGCCCCGCAGAGCTGTGTCTGTGCAGACTGTGTCTGTGTCTCGCTGCGTGTTCCGCTCCCGAAACCACCACCGGAGCTGTCACGGCGTCACGAAACCTTGTCACAGTGCGCAGCGGTGACCGCATTTGGTGTGAAACCACACCCTTTCGGCGACGTCGGTGCGGGGCAGCCGCCCTGCCCGCGGTGCCGTCCGCCTGCCGTTTCGCGGCGGCGTACGCCGCCTGCTTGCGAGCTCCAGACGGTGGCGCGGAAGCAGCCGTTGCCGGCGCAGGAGCAGTCGCTGCCGGTGCGGAAGCAGCCGCTGCCGGCGCAGGAGCAGTCGCTGCCGGCACGGAAGCAGCCGCTGCCGGCGCGGGAGCAGCCGCTGCCGGCGCAGGACCAGCCGCTGCCGGCGCGGAAGCAGCCGCTGCCGGCGCAGGAGCAGTCGCTGCCGGCGAGGGAGCAGTCGCTGCCGGCGCGTGCCCGGCGTCCGGCGGCGGCATGTTCGTGGCTCGCGTCGGTACGGCCTCCGCCGAGCCAGCGCACCTCCCCACACCGGTGACGGTCCGGGCCGGTTCAGAGGCGGAGCGGTGCCGGCTGGCGGCGGCCGCGCCCGGCGTCGTGGCCGGCCGGACCGAATCAATACGGCGCCGCGGCCGGCTCGCCCCGTTCGCCGTCCGCTCGCCGTGGCCTACACCGAGCCCCGCGGTGGGCGGCTGCACTCGACGGCGCCCGATCGGGGTCACAGCAGAGGCCCCGATTCGGATGGATCGCCCCGCTCAGCGCCTCTGATGGCGCGCCGCACTGGCGACGCGGCGCGCTCCATCTCGGCCGCGTCAGCAGCGGGCCAGGCCGGCCGGACCGCGCGGCCTGTCGGGTGGAGCGCTGTAGCGCCGGGCGGCGGCGGCCAGGGTGGTGACGGGGCGGCCGGGCCGCGCCGGGCGGAGACGACGGGTCGTCACGGCCGCGGCCGGCCGCCCCTATCGGACCATCGCGGCCGGCGCGGAGCCGCACATCGATCCAGCCGCCGCTCCTGCCGCCACCGCCGCCGCCAGCGGCGACGACGGCAACGGCCCCGACGGTCCCGACGCGGGCCCGGCTGGCACCTGTGGTACAGGGCACCGCCGGCTCCCGCTCCCGCTCCCCCTCCAACACGCACACGCACACGCACACCCACACGGACGGACAACAGCCATGCATGCGAGGCGCGTGCAGCGACGGGGCGCCGCCCAGCCACACCCAGCCAAACGCCGCCGCCGACGGCCAGCCAAACGTCGACAGCGACGACGACGACCAGCAGCAAGAGAAGAGGAGGCGGCCGGCGGCCACTCACCAGGCGCCGCTTTGGCTTAATCAGCGGGCGGTTTTGGCCGTTCATTTTGTGATAGAGGCCGCAGGCGTTACAGAGGTAGTGGCCGGTGCCGTCCCGACGCCACAGCGGCGTCGACGTCGCGCCGCAGTTGACACACTCGCGGGCCTCTGCAATACCAGGTCAGGCTGAGGTCACGCGCCCACGCACTCACCATGCGCTGCTTGGGCTTGATCAGCGGCCGGTTCTGGCCGTTCATCTTGTAGTAGAGTCCGCAGGCGTTGCAGAGGTAGTGGCCGTTGCCGTCGCGCCGCCAGAGCGGGGTCGATGTCGCGCCGCAGTTGACACACTCGCGACCCTCTGCGATGGCAGGGCGGGCCCGTGACTAGAGGTCATGGGGGCGACGAACGGGAGGTGGCGCCGCGCGGCGAGTGCACCGGTTGGGCAAAGCGAGTTTACGTTGTAGAGGCTCGCAATGAACTCCGACTGCAGTGATATGTGAAGCTAGAATAATAATAATAATAATACCAGGCAATATTTCATCCCAGCAAGAAGTGTGCTATCACATATGTCAACGGTGTTGCGGTTTAGCAGAGGCCACTTATATAACATATAAGATAGCCACAGTTCCGAAGTTACGCCTCCCAAAAGTACATGTTCACACCTGAAGGATGTGCCAGAATTCCTGAATAACCCTGCAATCCCGCAAGGGTTATTCAGGAATTGCCGGTTTCGACAAGTCAAACGATATAATATTAAGTAAAAGCAAACACGCGGCACGCTGCTTGTGGATTCTGCTAGCTTGAGTTACTGGTTAGGTGTGAGTTCAACATGCACTCTAAAACTACATAGATATGTAACAACATGGCATTCTCCATCCCAGTGGGTTAGTTCTTGTCAGTACCCGGATGTGTCGGTTCATCGTCATTTTCGGCAGATTCGATTTATCATATGATAATCACCATTTCAGCAGAATGGCCGATAAACCAGCAAAAACCCTGCCGCAACACCATGGAAGGCGGACATATCCATGCTTTCTTAAAGGGCCAGCGTTATCCATCATTTTCGTCCCGAGTGGGCTCATTAGTTACGATCCCTAACGACACCCCGTGGGCGACAACCGGCGATAATTACACCGTGTACACCCGCGCCCGCGCTGTCCGGAATGAATGGGCGGAGCAGCGCATTGTGCGCGCGGTAGGGACCGGGGCCTCTGCGGGCCCCCGGGGCGCGCCGCCGGTGGTGGGCCCTCCTCCCCGCGGCCGGCCGGTCCACGCACGTGGGGCGACGCCGCCGCCGAGAACGGCCCGGCTCTCCGGGCCGGATCAGGGCGGTACCGGCGGCACGCGATCACCCCGCGACGCGCCTAAGTGGGGATCATTGGCGGAGAGCCATTGCGGCCACTGCATCAAAGGCGCCGCCGCCGGCCGGCCGCGCGCCGACTGGTCACCGCCGCGGCGCACGTGGCGCGCGACGAGAGATTGTAACGCGAGTGCCGCGTCACTGAGATTGTTCAGGAGGGTCCCAGAGCCCACACAGGTGAAATTGTTCAGGACGTTTTCGCGCAGCTTATATTGGGCAGCGAGGGTAGCTTCTGTTGTGACACAAGAGGCACTCGGCTGAAATTTTGTCGTGAGTGTTTTGTAGCTGAAACTGCCCAGCCAATGTTGCGTAGCTGATATTGTGACGCGACTGACACAGAGCAGAATCTCGCCCATGGATGTAGCACACTGGAGACTGCCAGCGAGTACCGTGCAGCCGATACTGTATTGCGAGTGTCGCCCAGCTGGGAGTGGGTAGCTAGTGAGGTGGGGTTGGGCCGCGAATGTTGTACAGCCAACATCGTGCCACAAACATACCATAGCGAAGATCGTGCTGGGGACGTTTTTCAACCGATATTTCGACGCGAGTTCACATATTGCGCGCGGCTGAAGGGCTGGTTTTCAGCTTTCACAGGTGTCGCACAGCTGTGGCTGGTTATTGAAGGAGGTGAGATTGTGCCGAGAGTGTAGCACAGCTTGCTTTGTGCCGCGAAAGCCCAGCTGAGATTCAGCCAAGGATCATACGGCTGCGATTGTGCAGAAGTGTCGCACGGCTGAGATTGTGGCGGGGCAGTCTCACGGGTGAGAGAGACTGTGCCGGAGCGTCGCCTGGCCGAGGTCATGGGGCCGGGCAGGCACAGCTGAGATTATTATGTCGCGACTGTCGAACAGCCGAGGTCGTTCAGCACGCGTTGCGCGCCAGGGTTATGCCAGGAACTTCGCACGGCTGAGATTGTGACCAGAAAGTCTAACGGGTGAGAGAATATGTGCCGGTTTGTCGCCAAGCTCAGCCTATCTGTCGCCCGGCTGGAGCACTGAGCTGTGTTCCACAGTTGAGATTGTGCCACCAGTGTCGAGCAGCTGGGATTGGGTCACGAATGTCCAACAGCTGACGCCAAGATTGTGTCATGAGTGTCGCACGGCTGAGGCAGCGTCATACGTGTCGCATGACTGACATCGCGCCGGGGGCGGCGGACAGCTGTGACGTGGTCGCCACGAGCATCGCACGCCTGCTGCTGCGCCGGGGCTGCCACACTGTCGCGCAGCTGAGATTCGCTACCGGTGCTCGAGCACAGACACGCACAGGCACCACACAGGGGATATTCGCGATGCAGCAGGATTCGCGCCGCTTGTGTCGCGCGGCCGGAAGTGCCGCCAGCACGGTGACGAGGGTGACGTGTCACCGTCGGCGCGGTGACGCCCCCCGGAGACGGCAGTGTCGCGCAGTGTGTCACCGGTATTTTTGGCGGGGGGGGGGGGGGTCGCACGGGCGCCTCTCCCGCGGCCGCCGAGCGTAAACAGTGTCCGGAGCGCGGCACCGCGCCGGCTATGATACACGTGCCAGCTGGACCACCGTGCCGGGGGAGCGCCGGCGCCGGCGGTCTCTCCCCGCCCGAGCGGCACCGCCCTCCCGCCCATCGCGTGACGCACATGGCCGCCGGAACGGATCGCACCGATACAGAAATGCGGGTTAATTACGCCGGTTTTCCGTGCCGAGCGGAGGTGCAGAAGGGAGTGCTGACGGGCCGCAGAGGCGCGTGGGAGTCCTCTTCGTGTCGTCTGCTCGAGGAAGCCAGTCTCGCATGCCGCATGGCATGAATTAGGGCCGGCCGGCGAACGGGCGGGCGGCGCGTCACGCCCAGCTCGCTAGCAGCATGTAATTTTCACGCTGCAGTGGGCACCGTTACGTCAGAGATTAGGGTAAGACCCGCACTAAGAAGACACTGCTCTCGGATGGTAACCACCGCTGCCGGCCCCGCCAGCGCGGGCAGGAGGGGGGGGGGGGGGTGCCCCGCCGGCTTCCTCCGCTGCCGTCGCATGCCTCGCCCCGGCGGGCGTCTCGCGTTAGTGCACTGTACAGCAGGCGCGTGTTAGCCGGCCCGCCGCTGCCGTGCCGGTCAGTCTCGCCGCGCCCTCCACCGTGCAGCCGCCACCACCTCCGCCCGCCCCGGCCTTACCCGCCGACGACCGCGCCTTCGCCTTGGGCCGCGGCGACACGCTTTTGGAGACGAACGCACTGGGGTGGAAGCTGTACCCGGCGGCGGCGGCCGGCGCGTACTCGGCCGCCGCAGAGGCCGCCGGGTACTGGTACGGCCCGGCGGCGGCCAGCTCTGCCGGCGTTCCGCTACCTTCGCGCTGCTTCGGCAGGCCGTGGATAAGCGGCGGCTTGATGTCCAGCCCGTCGGGCGCCGCCAGCAGCTGGCCGCAGGGGTGCTGGCCGTACTCGCCAGACATGCCGGCCACGGCCGCCGCCGCCGCCACGGCCGCCGCCGACGCCGATGCCGACGCCATGCTGGAGGAGGCGGCCGTCGCCGCCGCCGACGTCTCGGGCGTGCCGTCCTTGGGCGGCGTCGGCGGGAAGTGGAAGAGGTGCGGACTCGAGTGCGCGATCGAGGTGGGGATAGCCGGGCTCTGCGTCTTGCCGAACGGCGAGCACCAGGCGGCGGCCGACGGCGGCATCATGGCCTTGTCGCCGATCCACGGGTAGGTGGGCAGGTGCGAGCGGTACATCTGACCGCCGGCCGCCGACATCCGCGCTGGGGGCACGGCACAGAGACGAGGGTCACAGTACAGCCACGGCGCCACAGATCGAAGGGTCACAGCACATCCACAGCGGCACGGGTAAAAGGGTCACAACCACGGCGGCACAGAGACGAAAGTCACAGCACAACAGTCACGGCGGTACAGAGACGAAAGTCACAGCACTGTCACGATGGCATAGAGGCGAGGGTCACAACACAGCCGGGACGGTACAGAGACGAGGGTCACAACACAGCTAGGACGGTACAGAGACGAGGGTCACAGCACAACAGAAATGGCAAGGTGTCACAGCACAGCGCAGTGACGTAACGGAAGGCTTCCGGCACGGTAGTGATGCGAGAATGACGGTGAGTCGGCGCCTCCTAGACGCGACAGTCAGTTTCCACGGTATCACAACACGCCGCACAGAGCCGGAGGAGGCAATACAACACAGCGCCTGACTGGGCCGAGGCAACAACACGACACAGCAACACAGCCGCGCTGGGAACCGAAGCGGCCGAGAACATCTGTGAGAAGGCTGAAACGGCGCCAAAACAGTCAGCGCCAAGCGCCAGCGACGCCTCATGACTGGCCGGACGTTAAAAACATCTGTGAGAAGGCCGAGACGGCGCCAAAACACTCGGCGCCAAGCGCCACCGACGCCTCATGACTGGCCGGACGTTAAAAACATCTGTGAGAAGGCCGAGAGGGCGCCAAAACACTCGGCGCCAAGCGCCAGCGACGCCTCATGACTGGCCGGGCGTTAAAAAAAAAATCTGTGAGAAGGCCGAGACGGCGCCAAAACACTCAGTGCCAAGCGCCAGCGACGCCTCATGACTGGCCGGACGTTAAAAAAACATCTGTGAAAAGGCCAAGACGGCGCCAAAACACTCAGCGCCAAGCGCCAGCGACGCCTCATGACTGGCCGGACGTTAAGCCGACGTGACTTCACCAACAGCGGGCACAATGGTGGCGTCCCTGTCAGCGGCACGCGCTACTGACTGCTCGGAAACAGGGCCGCTCTGCCGGCATTCGCGACGCTCCCCCACTAAGTCGCGTGGCAGCAGAACATGAGGCAAATGCCGGGTACGAACTGCGGCCGCAAACTGACAGAAATAGGGGGTAAAGTGGACAAGGGGCCCGGTGCTGTTAGGCGCTATCGACTTCCTAGCCAGAGCGAGATGGCGACACATAATGCCTGGGCGGGAGCCGAAAACCCGCAAGCACCTGTGCACGAATAAGTGGGGCAGCTATGGAACGAATCGTCGCCTCGGGAAGACAGGCTGACTGAAGAAACAGCGAGATGAAAACATGATCACTTTAGCGGTCCTTGGTAATGCTATACGGTACGAAGCAAAATATAGGTGCATATGGGCCAGTTCCACATTGTGTAGAAGTTTTTCATTCAAGCTGTGCTGCAAGTGAATAGACGCTATTATATGAATTTATTGTGTACGTACGCACATTTACGATACGTTTTTGATGCACAAATTCAGCATCGATCACAAGACAAAACAATGCCTTCCGACAGTATCGCGTCAGGTGAATCCACCTTTTGGAAAAAATAGCAAGAAAACAAAACCTTCGTGGATCATATTTTCCACAAAAAAGCAATGCGTGGTGACCAGGATTGATGTTTTCGGGGACCAACTCGTCCCAGTGCGGAAGAGCGTTCGAGACCACGTGGCGGCCAAACGATGATGGTGGTACTCAGTCAAAGAGGCAGAGGCTCTAAAGGAGCCCCCACACCATGACTGGCTGGGAACGGAGCCAATTACCCGACTGTGGGAGCCAGCTGATGTCCACTGCTGGAGGTGTCGACGTCCGTGTCTACTTAGCAGACCGCGAGTCACGCTTATCCTCTCTGCTATCATTTATTGTCTCCTTATCGCCTGCGCTAATAAATTAGCGCGCCGCAATGTCTTTCATTCTTTTCTTTCTTGCACTGCGGAAAAATGCTGGCCTGGCTACAGCCCCGGAGGAGCCGCAGCTGCGGAGTCAGCCGACCGAGCCATATCTTACCCTCCGCCCCGCAGAGCGGCCGCAGCCTCGCACGAGAAGCGGGACCGATACGCCACGCCGGCGATGGTCTTGGCTGCTTGGTGCCAACGCAAGCTTGAAATCTCACTTAATCAACGGTTAGTTATATTTCAAGTTTGCTAACGCGACCTATTACAGTGCGTTTATTGTACATTAGCACGATAGCATCGCACAAGCCGGCTCAGAGCCGGTCTAATTGCAGGGCAGCGTGGCCAAAGTTCAGCCCGTGTAATTTGTAGGGCCGTTGAGCGATCCGGCTCGCTATATCATCCGCCGGTTAGCGCACCGTCAATCAGGCCGCAGTCTCAAACACCGCAGCTCAGATGGAATTCGGAAAACTATTCCCTGGATGTATCAATTCATCATTGTCAAGCCGCTGCCCGCGCCGTCCAGCTATTCCAATTACGCGTAAAATCAAAAATGTACGCCCCGTTAATTGCTGTCTTGATGTAAACTCCGCCCACGCGCCGCGCGCGGCAGCTTGGCCAAAACAGGGCGCGGGCACGGCGGGAGCGGAGCGCACGGTGGCGCCAGCGGCGGCCGCAGATGGCGCGATAAGATGGCGCGCTCCCAGCCCGATTATCAACGCTTCGATTGCGTCCCGGGCCGGCTGCCAGCGCCGCCGGAACGCCGGCTCTGCAGCCCTGAATGGATAGTCGAGATCAGCGTCGCTGTCGCAGCGACTGGGCGTGGGCGGCCGGCGCCGGCGCCGCCGCCGCCGCCGTCGTTAGCCGAGATCAATGAATTACGGCGCCGGGTTCGCCGGCGCGCGGCCGCCCGATGGAGACGTGCCCCGCCCCCGGCACGGCGGCGCTCGAGCACGGCAGCGCGAGCCGCCGCGGCGCGGCGCGACCGGCCGACGGCGGCGCGTACGGCCGCCGCCGTCGCGCCGCGCGGCCGGGCGACACCGCGACGGGGATCGCCGCTGCGGAGGCGGGCGTCACGCGCCGCGCCCCGTCCGGGCGGGTCGCTGTCGGCGGCCGGCTCGGCTCGGCTCGGCTCGGCTGCCGACAGACTCCGTCACCATGGGCTGTCGCTTTGTCGGGGATTACGCGACTCGAGTTTCCACCGCACGTGCCGACAGCGACAGTTGCGCAACGGACGAGTGCCCGCTCGCTGACGGTGGACGGCACGCACCTGTGCCTGGCGCACGCAGCTGCGACGGAGGCGTCCGCGCAGGCACAAAGTGCGAAAACTCGCCCGACCGCTGTCTCGTAAACCACCGCGCAAGCCGGCCGCTATCACACATCAGGAAGTGCCGCGATGCGGGGCGAGCAGCGTCGGCGTCGGCAATGCAAGAGCGACCAGGGCAAAGATAAGCGGCGCTTTAAAGGTTTGCAGGCTTGCTTAAACTGAAGTTGAGTGTCTATGAGCCGGTTATAACGATCCATAAAGTGTCGTTGGGTTGGCTTAATGTTTCCTCGGTTCGGCAGTTACGTATCAGCTTAATCGGGGACGGTGCCAGCGCTACCGCTCGCGGTAGGGTTGGCGCAATGGGCGTGACCTGCTTCACTGACCCGCGCACGCCCGTACAGAGCCCTCCACTGAACGATGTCGCCAAAATCGGGGGCACCACGGGCGGCCCCTGGATTGAGCCTCTATGGAGGTGATCATATTACGCGGGCTCTTGTGCCATGAATGGTATTTTTCGCGCCGAGGTGGAGCTCCAACAATATGAATGGAACAGAAAAACGCACCCTTCAGTATAGAACTGAATGCCATCTAGCATACTAGTAATGCCTTAAGTGTGTATGAGAGTATCCATGAAGATAACGACGAGGAAAAAGAGGCAGATCTAAGGGACTAAAAACTATTAGGAATGTTCAAACGCGGGGGAGAACTGTGTTTCACGTATTCAGCATCCACCGTACTTCCTATTACACATGAGTCTGCTGAAGGAATGAAGATGTTAAATAAAGTGTCTAGAGTGAACGAGAAGCTCTGCTGTACACACACACACATACATATATATATATATATATATATATATATATATATATATATATATATATATAATGGTGCTAAAAATAAACCGAAGACGGCTAACAGCATTTCAATAACATTAAGATTATAATGTGGCAAGGAACCCCGAAATGTACGTGCACAGAAGTCTCATAAGCAACACGAGACATTTGCATCAAGAGAGAGCCCTCAGGAAAAAATGTGTGATCACAAAAAGGGTGTGTGACGGGAGATCAGAGCGTCAGAGTAAGTGTAAGGGGCTAAACTCGCCGAAAACTATTTTCTTTCCATACATTACCATACAGGTTTCATACCAGATTCCGTGAAAGATGCGGGTGACATGGTCCCCTTTCTCCAGCCCATCTTCTCCCGTGACTCTCACGATGCCACGACTCATGAAAATGGAACAATACTAAACAAGCATTTAGAGCAGGAGTCACCATGCAGATATGAGCAGCGAAAAAAGAAATACTGCTTGCTTACTTTTGAAGAGCTTTAGCCATGTTGCGCCATAATGATTGCTGTTACTAGAGCGCTGCGTTGCAATCACGGAGGTGTGCCCTCTTCAGCAGGCCGTGTCGTTGCTAGCTTTATTCGTAATTGATGTAAGAAAATGTTGCCATTTCTCAATTTCAATTTGATTTTTGGAGTGTTGCCGCCAGCATTTAACGCAACAATTTATTACGTTTTTAGAAACGTATGTGCTACGAGTGTTATTCTGTTGGAGCCTAAGCTTTCCATTGACGACCGGTCTACACCATGAAATCCTATAAATCATGTGATGCCTCATTAAGCCCTCGCGGCTTAAGATGACTACATATTTGGGCGTCACTTGACCAAATACATCACGTGAGAAGCGAAACCAGGGGAGACAACCGCACCACTTGATGTAGAGCAGAAGAGTTACCAGATGTGCAATCTTTGCGCTGCCACATATGGCTTATTATTATTTTAACATGGATTCCATTTGAGCTTCATGTACCAGCTGTATACCAGCTTTGTATTAAAATCGTGC